GATTCACCATACTATCAAAAACTGATGTTCAAAAATAAAAACTTATGATCATTTTCTAAACTTCATCTCACACTAAGGTGTGTCAGTTTATTCCTCTATTTATTATATTTATGTTTATTATTTATGTTTATTTACTATTATATTATTTATATTTATTCCTGTAGTTATTATATCAATATCACTATGTAACTGTCTTTCTTTCTCTATAACCCACCTAGTAATTTTTAATCTTTTAAATAGAACAAGGCTAAAGGTAGTGATGATCTGAAATAATGAGTGGGTGTCTATTATAAGACATCCTAAGATACAAGGATTTGTTGAGGATGATTTTTACACCACTTTTTCTAGGTTCTAATTTGTAAGGAAATCATTATAATCTTTTTGTGAGTAATAAAGAAAATTCACATAAATTAGAATAAAATCATGAACCTCACAAAAGATTGTAATAATAAAGAACTAATCATGCAGAAATTGTACCATAAAGTGCTGATTTTTCTTGGATAAGTTTAAATCCAATATATTTCAAAGTGAAGTTGACATTTTCCTTCAGCTCCTGGTTTCTTTATAACATTGCCTTGGAAATAGGAAAGGATGTGTCAAGCTGCTCAAGTCATTCTTGTCATTACCAATCAATAGGTCATCAAAATAACACAGCATTGGATGTATCCAAATTGAATTTTTTTTTCAAACAGGCTAAGGTGCTACCATAAATGGTTCATTTTTGACCAACTGAATCATACCATGTCTATTGAGAATGTGACTAGATGGATTGCCATTTATTGTGCAAGATTAAAAACTATATCACATCATGGCTAGACAAGGAATTAGTGTTTTGTATTTCTTGGAAAAGAAAGCAAATTGGCTTCATGTACCCCTATCTTATTTTAAAATCAGGATATGTATTTTGACTTAACACTGATTCCCACTAACAGCTCTGTTAAGTAACATGTTGTAAAAGAGTAAATTGAAACAGCTTCAGTGATTTCATCTGAATTGACTTATTTCAGCAGTTAGAAAATGCAAAGTTTTGGTTTTTATTAGTGCATCACCATTTATACTAGTCTAGTTAGAAGTAATGGGCACACTTCTATCAAAGACCTTATTTTCAGAGGTTTATATAGTAAATTTATTAAAATTGCCTCAGGCTAAAACTTGATGGAGGAAATTACAAGATTGCTTCCCTTTTTATTACTTTTCATTTTAGTAGATGTATTAATGAATATTAGAAACTTTACAATTAAGGGCATATAAGGTCCAATTTAGGCTTTACAAAAGTCATTTGGGTTCTATATACCTTTGCCAAATTATTTTCTATTTAAGGTGGACAATAACACCATACTTAGATATTTTTTAAACAATACAATGATTTAAATATTTCATATAGGGTCATTACTGAAATGAAAAATGAAAGTCACATTGCTGAGGAGAAAAAATACTTTTTTTCTCCTCTGCAACAGGCACAGCTTGAAATTTATCTGATTTGTGAAAGTGACCATAAGTGATGCCACATTATTTGAAATACCTTATGAACATTAACAAGATTTACCTTCATACTATAAATAGGGCATTATTTCAATTTTTTTAAAAATTCCAATGAGGGACATACAAATTGATTTTTCTCAAGCTCCATGTTTAAAGAAAATGATTCATGTGTTATGAATACTTGTGCTTCTGTCAAATCCAATTAAATTTTAAGAGGAATGGATTATCCAATGGCTGTAATAGGTATTACATAATATAGTGATTCTTTGAATAAAAGGAAGAAATAAAGCATTTTTCAGTTCCTCACATCCCTGTGAAGGATATGTTCCTTCATAGACATGGGAATTAGTTTGGATACTTCAGTTCTTTTATAACATATCATCATCATACACTAATAATGTAATTTTGGTGGATTGCTTGGCTTATAAAAATGTCTTGGAAAAATAAAAATCTAGTTTATGTTAACTGGGGGAAAATGAGGCAACATTACATAGACGCTCAATTATATTCAAATACAGTTATAATTGGCTCCTCATTTATTAGTGCTTTCAGAGATGCAACAGAACAGCAGGTGAGACACACTCAGTATAAACTGGCTTTCAAATTTACTCACTTTCTTTTTATCCTAGCTTAAATTAGGCAGAGAGGTATGGTTATTGCCTGTTAGAGACTTGAGTTCTGCTTACTATGTGTGACAACACCATAGGGACTCAAGTGCCATAAACCTAAAGGAATGATGAACAATAATTCTGAACTTTAATGTGCCCATTTTTTCTTTGTTTCATGAGGTTGCATCAGAGTCCTAGAGGAGAAGAGATTTATTGCTACTGTTTGCAATGCTATGCATGTATCTATTCCAGTGCACTCTAGGAATATATATGTATTAATGAAATGGCAGTCAATAGTCTATTCTGGTTGTATACTGAGTACCTTTTGTGTTCTATGAATGTTCACCTTGTATGGTGTCAGACAATGACTGTGCACAGTTTCTTTAACATAGTGGCAAGATGAGTTTTCAAAGTACATTGAAATATATCTGAAACAAGTTCTGCATCTGCTATTCATGGGCTCAAGCATTTCTGAAGTGAATGACTACAGGTTTAGAATATACCAATTTACCCAGTTCCCTAGACTGATTTCTATTTTGCTCCCCATCCACTGGTAGCTAATTGAAATCATGTTTCCTTGATCTTAGAATTATAACATCTCTGTCTGTCATGTGAAGTGTTCAAGCGAAATACACTTAACTCATTTGATTTTGGCTAAATGACTGAACAATAAACATGTTGAAGGACTTCTAGAGGTCTATCAAAATGAAAACAATTCCCTATAACAGGGCTGTAGGGGAGCAACCTGTAATTAACCTCCCTAGATCATGAGTAGAACAGGCAGAGCCAATGTGGTTGAATAGAGTAAGCAAACCAGCTTAACTCTACCGATGTTGTCCTAGAAACAACTTATAAAATAGTATCTTAGATCAAATACCGGTGTGGCATAGTCAAATAAAGGTCAGAGGGAGAATTTTTTTTTTCAGTCCAAGATAACTTAGGTCAACAGGAGATTGGTTCCCTGGCATAGGTACACGCAGTGGCAACACCAGCAACAGTCCTCAAAGGCAGATGTGACAGTGGCAGCTGCATCATTGTTTTGGGCTTTTTCAAGCAAAACCTTGTTTCTTTAACCAAATGTAATTCTCAAAGTTCCATAGCAAAGAAGAGCATTTGCACTTGCAACCTCTGGGGAACAGTTAGAAAAAGTATACATAGAGAGATCATAGGTGTGAGTTGATTATAAGGTGTTGATTTAAAAAAAATGAGGGGTGAGGAAAAGGGATGCACTGGGAGAAGGGCAAAGAGTGAAGAAGAAAAGGGAAAAGAATTTCACAAAAAAAAGGTAGTCAAGGAAGAATTTTAACAGTGGAGGAATAAAACAATTATTTAAGGCAATTCTTGAACCTCACTCTCATTTGAAATGATTAGAAGAGGAAAGAATATGTACACACATTCAGCTGGGTATAGAAATCTATCTTACCCAAAATTATATGGGGAGGTGTTAAAGGATAGGTGATATGAGGGGGAGGGAAGTGAGAAGAGGGGTAGAAGATTAAGAGAGGCAGTAGTCAGAAGCAAAACAGACTTTTGAAGAGGTACAGGAGAAAAAAGAGAAAGAGAAGGCAAAACTGAAGAAAATAAGATGGAGAAAAATGCACAATTAGTAACCATAACTGTGAATGGGATGAACTCACCCATAAAACAGAAGCAGATAACAGAATGGATTAAAAACCAAAATCCAACAATATGTTGTTTATAGGAAACAAACTTAAACAAAAAGGAACACACTGAGTAAAAATAAGAGCCTGGAGCAGTATCTATTTTGCTTCAACTAAGGGAAAAGAAAGCAGAGGCAGCAATCATGACTGTAGACAAAGCAAAAGCATAAAAAGAACTATTTGAAAGAGATAATTAGGTAAACTTCACTTTTTTTGTAAAATGTGAAATAGATAATTAAATAATATCAATTCTAACCATATATGCACCAATTAGCAAAACATCTGAATATTTATTTAAAGTTTATTTTAAAAATATTTTATTTGTTTACCTTTAACATTCTTTTTTTTTTTAATTCTGAGGTTCAAATTCTCTCCTGCCTCTCACATGTGAAATCATGCAAAACACATTGCCCAAATGTCATAAACAAAATGTCAAGACTGTCAAGGGAATCAATTTAAAAAAAAGCAAAAGAAGGAAGTGCCAGATTTTAAACTATACTACAAAGCAGCAATCATAAATACAATCTGGTATTGCCTAAGAAATAGCATGGCAGGGAGAGGATTCTTAGAAGATAGTGGAGTAGGTCAGAAAATTCCAAGCTCTCAAGTTTTCCACCACACAAAAGAGACAAAATAGAGCCTCAGGGCAAACAAAGAGCTGGTAAGAATAAATAAGAGTAGGGGCAGAACAATCATCCTTCTGCCACAATTGGCGAAGATCTAAAGAAAAATTTCAAGACAAGACTTGGTCCCTGTGAAGAGTAAACACCTCCAGGCTTGGGACTGCTTAAACAACAAGCAGCAAGCCATGGGGTTAGTTGTATTGACAGGCTGCCTTGGCCCCAGTAAAAAGAACTTTTACCTCTGGGACAGTGAGGAGAGTGGGGCTTGGAAAGGAGGATGGAATCTCTGCTAACAAGGAATACCAGATCCAACTGTACAGCTGGGATGCTGTTGTCAGGGGGCCGAAAGGAACCAGCACCTACTCAATGAGTGCAGAAGCAATGCTGGCTGTTAGCACTTACAAGGCGGCTGGAGGTCTTGGTTTCAGTTCCAGGCCAGAGAAGAGAGCTGAAAGAAGTTCTGAGGCCAGAAGCACTCTACCCCATATTACAGGGCTAGAGGTGATCACCAAAATTAAGCTACTACAAAACAAAACAAAACAAAACAGACAAACCACCAACAACAACAACCGAAAAAACGACAATGCATAGACAAAGGAGAAAGAAATTCATCCATAGAGAGTTACCAGGGAAATAGAGAAGACCAGGGTTCGTCTTCAGAGGAAGATACTGAAGTATAGAAACCATCTTCTGTCCCAAAGAGTAATGTCAAATTGTCAGCTGCCCAAGAAGAATTCCTAGAAGAACTTAAAAAAAAAAGACTTTAAAAATCAAGTGAGAGAAAATGAGAAAAAAATTAAACAATAACAATCCAAGAAAAACAAAAAGATCAGGAGGGAAGCAGAAAACTGGGAAAGAATTTTTATAATCAGTGTCTCTGATCAAGGCCTCATTTCTATAATATATAGAAACCGAGTCAAATTTATAAGAATATAAGTCATTTCCCAATTGATAAACGGTCAAAGGATATGAACAATTTTCAGAGGAAGAAATTAAAGCTATCTATAGTCATATGAGAAAGTGTTCTAAATCACTACTGATTAGAGAAATGCAAATCAAAATGAGTGAGGAAAAAGCAGCGACTTGCTTGAGCTCTCCCCCAAACCCCTCCAAATACATTTGAAAAAAGGACTCTAAACAAATTCTAAAGCATTAGAACCCACAAAAAGATAGAGTGAATCAAATTTCTAGGCCATGACAACTTGGATGGTTGACTGGAAAGGTATACTGCGCTGGGCTGGGAGAGAAATACAGTTCAGAGTGGGCTCACAGGCAAAACACGCCTCAGCGAACCTAAAGCAGGCCTCAGAATCATGAGTAGCTGTGGTGCTTTCCAGACTTCCAATCCATGAATGCCAAAGAAAACTTAAAAGGTCAGTAGGAAAAGTCTGTGACTGTGGGTGAGTGAGAAGCTCAGGCCCAGCCCCAGTCCTGGCGCAGCCCAGGGGCCTCAGCTCCTTCTGTAGCTTCTGGCCCAAAACTGAGGGGGAATCAAGTGTGTGATCAGAGACAATTGCAGGGATCTCTTTGCTGTTGCTGAGGCCGGATTCTCTTGTTTTGTCTGTACTTGGATCTGGGTCATAGTTCTGGGTGGTGGTCCTAGGGCGAAAAGGAACACTGGCATGGTGGAGCTTGTAGTGGTGGCAAAGAAGAAATCCTCCTTACATTTCCAAGGTAGAAATGAGTGCTTGTGGACACTCATAGACCAGAGCACAGGCCAGGAAAGGAGTAAATACCTTGCCCCTGATCATACCACCTTGGAAGAACTGAAAATGTATAAGTCCCTAGAAGTATCTCTGAAAATAGTTGCACAAAACCCCAAAGTTTGGGGCAGTACATTCTCCATACTGCAAGCAGACCCCTAACTTAACAAAAAAGTTTAAAACTAAAGTAATTTGCTGGGATCAGGAGGAAACCTCTCAAAAAAAGTCAGACTTTAGAATCTTTCTTTGGCAACAAAGATCAAAAGATGGAACCAGAAGAAGACAACAAACTCAAAGCTCCAATATCCAAAGCCTCCAAGAAAAATATGCATTGGTCCCAGACTACAAAAGAGTTCAAAAAGGAGTTTTAGAAGCAAATAAGAGAAGTAGAGGAAAAACTAGGAGGAAAAATGAGTGATGCAAGAAAATCATGAAAAACAAGTCAACAGCTTGCTAAAGGACACCCAAAAAAATACTGAAGAAAATAACACCTTAAAAAATAGCCTAACCCAAATGGCAAAAGAGGTCCAAAAAGCCAATGAGAAGCATGCCTTAAAAAGCAGAATTTGCCAAACAGAAAAGGAAGTTCAAAAGCCCACTGAAGAAAATGCTTCCTTAAAAATTAGAATGGAGTAACCAGAAGCAAGTGACTTTATGAGAAATCAAAACACTGTGAAACAAAACCAAAAGAATGGGGAAAAAAAGCCAACAAATTGAAATATCTCATTGGAAAAACAACTGACCTGGAAAAGAGAAAGGGAGAGGGAGAATGGGGCAAATTATCTTGCACAAAACAGAAAAGAAAAGACTTTTACAGTGGGGGGGGAAATGGGGGAAGGTAAGAGGGAATGAGTGAATCTTATTTTCTTTGGATTTGGCTTAAGGAGGGAATAACATACACACTCAATTGGGTATGGAAATCTATCTTACCCTACAGGAAAATGGGGAAGGAGAACAGGACAAGAGAGCAGGGGGTTGCATATCGGGGGAAAGGATTATCAGAAGCAAACACTTCTAAGGAGGGACAGGATCAAAGGAGAGAATATAATAAATGGGGAGTGGGATAGGATTAAGGGCAACATACTTAGTTTTTCACAACGTGAAAATAAAATGACTCTGAGGTACCACATCACAGCTTGGCTAACATGACAATATAGGATAATAACAAATGTTAGAGAAGATGTGGGAACATTGCAACACTAATACATTGTTGATGGAGTTGTGAAATGATCCAACCATTTTGGAGAGCAATGTGAAAATATATCCAAAGGGCTATAAAATTGTGCATACCTTTTGACCCAGCAATACCACTTTTGGTCTTTATTCCAAAGAGATCATAAAAAAAGGGAAAAGTACCCACATGCACAAAAATATATATCGCAGCTCTTTTTGTGGTGGCCAAGGATGGGAAACTGAGGGGGTGCCATCAGTTGGCAAATGGCTGAATAAGTTGTGGCGTATGAATGTAATGGAATACTACCATTCTATAAGAAATGATAAGTAGACAGACTTAAAAAAAAGTTGCAAAGACTTACATGAACAGATGCAGAGTGAAATGAGCAGAACCAGGAGAACATTGTGCAATGACTGACTTTGATAGACTTGGCTCTTCACAATAATGTAAGAATCTAAGACAACTCCAAAAGATGTGCCTTGGAAATTGCTATCCACACCCAGAGAAAGAACTATGGATTCTGAATGCATATGGATGCATACTATTTGCTCTTCCTTTCCTCTGTTGTTTTGCTTTATTGCTTCATACTTGTGGTTCCTCCCATTAGTTCTAATTGTTATTTATATCATGACTAATGGGAAAATATACTTAACATGAATGTATACGTAGAGCCTATATAAGATTGTACGTCATCTTGTGAGGGGTGAAAGAAGTGGGATGGGGAGAAAATTAGAAAATTTAAAACTCAAAATCTCATGGAAGTGAATGTTGAAAACTACAAATAAATTATCAAAAATGGGAAAGAAAAACAAGAAGATTGTGAAAAGCAAATCAATCAAATAGAAAAGGAGATCCAGAATCTTAAGGAAGAAAACAATTCCTTGAATATAAGAATTGGGCAAGTGGGAGTCAGCAAAATTATAAGAGATTAATAAATAGTAAAACAAAATATATGGAATGAAAAAAATAGAAGAACATGTAAAACATCTCATAAGAAAAAACAACTGATCTGGAAAATAGATCAAAAAGAGAAATCATAAGAATAATTTGACTACATGAAAGCTATGATTAAAAAAACTCTTGATAAAATAATACAAGAAACAATTAAAGAAAATTGTTCTGAAGCATTAGAACAAGAGGGAAAAATAGAAATAGAAAAAAAAATCCAGGGGCAGCTAGGTGGTGCAGTGGATAGAGCACCAGACCTGGATTCAGGAGGACCTGAGTTCAAATCTGGCCTCAGACACATAACACTATCTGTGTGACCCTGGGCAAGTCCCTTAACCCCATTGCCTAGCCACAAAAAAAAAATACTAAATCCACCTATCACCACCTCAAAGAGATCCTATAAGGGAAACTCACAGGAATATTATAGTGGTGACACTGTCAGAATCACACAAGACCTATGAGTGGAGACACTAAAAGACCACAGATGTTGGAACTATATATCAAAAAGCAAAAGAACTGGGATTATTATACCCAGCAAAGCTAAGTATAATCTTGAATGGAAAAAAAAAGGCATATTTGATGCATTGTCAGACTTTCAAGAATTCATATAAAGAAAAAAATCTGAACTTACTAGAAGATTTGTCATACAAGAGCCAAGAGAAATATAAGGTATATGCCAAAGACTAATTACAAGGGACTCAATAAGGACAGACTGTTTACCTTTTATGTATGTATGATGCATGTCTAAGATTGCCATTAGTGCTTGATTAGTTCATAAGAAAGATTAGGGTAGACCTGAGTATAATATGACTTTGAAAATTAAAACTGTTTAGGAACAGCTAAAATGAGGAACTACCTTATACAAATGAAGTGAGAGAGGAAAAAACAACACAGAGTAATTACATGGAAGAGTAGGGCTGTCAATTCTGAAAACCTGCTTTCATCAGGAATGTGTTCAAGAAGGAACAATACATACATAAAACTAGAAGAGTATAAAAGCCTTCTAAATTCCAAAAGAAATAAAATGAAAAGGGAAAGGGGAGGTGGAGAGAAAAAAGTAAGGATCCCTCTAGATGGGAGGGTGAGGAAATAGGTCAAAGGGCAGTACACAATGGAGTTTAGATTTGTGGGAATGGGAAGATATGGAAGGGATCCTTGGAGACGTGGTAGGTTAAGTAATAGGAGGTCAAGATTATCTAGTATAATAGAAGTAAAGGAGTCAGGAGCGATAGGAAATAAGAGACATACACAAACATAAAGCAAAAATCAGGAGTAGAATTTGTTAGGGAAAGCATATTTTCATGTGTGTATGTATGTGTACGTATGTATATGTGTGTATATGTATACACATGTGTATCTCTCCACATTTAATTGTAGCTTTCGGGGGGAGGGGAGGAAGGGGGAATAGAGAACAAAGTAAAAAGTGCACAGCACAGAACAAAATAAAACTTAAAAGGAAGCAAAAAAAAGATGGATGGCTCTCAACACAATGTAGAGTATTTATTACATAGGCTTTCTTGAAACGGAAATTTATTGCTATATATTTTCAGTCCTCTCTTATGTTTTGTTGTGCACATGACATTTTTTCTCTTTTCTTATTTTGTATCTGTTTTAATATTTAATTTACATGTTTTTTTCTCATTGTGTATTTAAATTTTAGAAATATAAAAATTAATTATAAAAATAAATAGATTGGGAGATTAGTGGAATAGATTAGGTACACAATAAAGGGTAATAGATGACCATAGTAATCTAATGTTACTAAATCATATAGGAATCTAGTAACCCACTGTTTGAAAAAAAAAATTGCCAGGAAAGCTAGAAAACAGTTTGGCAGGACCTAAGTGTAGACAAACATCTCATACCTCATATCAAGAAAATGTCAAGTTGGTAGGTGGTTTAAACATAAAACATAAC